TTTTGTTTTCTTAAATTAGGGATGATAGCTAGTCCTCTGTGGTTCTGTTTTTCTATCTCCATATTTCATACTTAATACAAATCTTGTTTGTATCACATAGTTTCTAATGCAAGTGTTGTATTTCAGTCTTAATCAGCTGTGAATTTGTCCTTATGCTTAAGTTGAGTTCTTACATGTTACTTGTTGCAGTGCCTGATACGTATGGGAGACATGGTGAATAAAGTTGCTGAATCTGGTCTTCTCGATTGGTTCGGCCGTGTTAAGTTGATTGACTGCATTTGCGATTTTGTTTTACTTGATCCTCAAATTGGAGAGGTAATATTTTCCTATGCAGGAAGATTCAGTTTTTTTTAGAAGAAGAATTATTATTATGAGGGGAAAGATGTATTAGCAGATACAGTTTTCTTCACTTCAGCTCTGATCTTGTTGAAACATTGACACAGAAATAGGAAGAGAAGTCATTGGATTTTTTTGACATGGTAGTTTACATTATAGTATAAATGAGGAGTTGATGCATGTTGTACTTACTTTCATATCGGTGTTCCGATATAGATGAAGGTTTTGAATCTTCATCAGACAATTCGTCCTGGTGCAGTATGTATGGAAAAGTTACTTTCAAGTTTTGTTATTTGCATTAGAAATAGACTTTCCTGCTAGTGGGGTGGTATTTTTCTTTTCAACAGATTCATTTCCTATTGATTTTAGGTTTAGCATTTAATTATTTGGTTGGCTTTTTTACTTCATTTACCACTCAAGTTTGTTCTGAAAGTGCAAAACTTATTCTTTCTCTTTGTGTGCATACTTCCACTTTTTAACATTTGACAGACGATGATTGAAAAGTTGCTTTTCATTCTTCAAGATCCTGATTATCGAGTAAGGTTCTTCTTGAGTAGACGAATTGGTGTACTTTTCCAAACATGGGATGGCCATGAGGAACTGTTCCAAGATATCTGGTAGGATTCTTGATATTGTTTTTTATCTAAAGGTTGCTTGAGTTTAATTGGCATTTCTGGCCCACTCTGGTATTCTTGAATTTCAGAATTTCATTAGCATTGTGAGATTTGTTTATATATATATCTGTATATATATAAATATGTTAGAAAATAGAAACGTTTTTGTTGCAATTGATGGTCCAAATCAGAGAGAAATAAAAAAACAGAATGAAGAAGCGGGTTTTCAATATGTTTTACTGATTGACAAGTTTCCATATTTGTACACGTTTACATGATTTCTAAAAGGAAACCATTGATACAAATCAGTAATTTTAGGATTTGAAATTAACTTTCCTTCATATTCTGGCAGTCAACACTCCTTATCAAGATAGTGCATAGATGTGTCTTATGTCCATATTGCAAATAAATCTATGAAATTTCTTACTTCCCAGTCCCATATATCCATATTTATACAAGTTTACATGGAGAAGAAAATAAAATACATTTAATTATAATGAGAGAGGTATGTTACTAGTATTGCCCTTTACCTATGTTAATATATATATATATATATATTTGAGATAAAAGTAGTTGATGTATTAAAAAAGGGCACCAAGGAGGTACCACTCATCTACAAAAGTATTACATATTTAAGAAAATATCGATAACAGTTCCAATATTGTTGAAATATAATAAATTATGATTCAAAAAGATGGAGGCAAAACAATGTAACCATCTATTTTTTATATTTACAATAGTATCTTCATTATCATTAAAAGCCCTATTGTTTCTTTTTTTTCAAATAGTCCAAAAAATAATAAGGGAGATAAGGCAGTTAACATGATTACTTGAGTTTAAATCTTCTTAAGTGAGGAGTTCATCGTGAACGGATCCAGCCACAACCCAAGTAAAACCAATCAGATTAAAAACCATGGACCAAAGATTTGAGGCAAAGGGATACCAAAGAAGAATGTGATTGCAGCTCTTAGCGTCACACTTGCAAAGAAAACACTTGTTAACCATAATATTTTCTCTTTTTATCAAGTTGTCTAAGTCATAATCTTCTCTTTACTGGCTTCCCAAGCAAAAAAAA